TCAGCATCATCATCATCATCATCAACATCATCATCATCATCATCATCATCATCAGCAGCAACATCACCAGTATCAACACCATCAACAACATCATCATCATCATCATCATCATCATCATCATCAACATCATCATCATCATCATCATAAGTATCGGAATCATCATCATAAGCAGCAACCCCGTGGTCATCACCATCATCATCTTCATCATCGTAAGCATCATCAACAAGAGCTGGACATGATCATTCGGATGGTCATCCGCATCAGCATGATCAGCATCAGACATACCACCATCATCATCATCATCATCATCATCATCATCATCATCATCAACATCGGCATCATCGTCATCTTCAACATCACCGTCATCGCCATCATCAACAGCATCATAATCGTCATCATCGTCATCACCGCCAGCATCAGAATCAGCAGCATCATCGACGTCAGCATTATTATAATCAGCATCGACAACATCATCATCGTCGTCATCGACCTCATCATCATCAGCATCATCAACAGCTTCATCAGCATCCGCATCCTCATCAGCATTATCGTCATCAACATCCTCAGCATCATCATCAGCGTCATCCGCTTTAGCAGCATCAGCATCGTCATCAGCAACAGCATCATCATCATCCTCCTCATCAACATCATCGTCATCATCATCAACAACATCGTCTGGGGCATCATCATGACCAGCATCAGCATCATCACCGACATCAGTATCATCATCATCAGCATCACCGTCATCATTAGTACAAGCATCATCACCACTAGCAGCATCATGACCAGTATCAGCGTCATCATGATAATCAGCACCGTCAGCATAAGCATGGTTTTCATTATCATCAGCAGCATCAGCATGAGCATCATCGTCAGCATCGGAATCATAAGCAGCATCATCAGCATCAGCATGATCATCAGAATCATCATCATTATCGTCGTCATCGTTATCAGCATCATCAGCATCAGAACCATCACCAAATTCACTATCACCATCAGCATCAACATCAGCATCCGTATCATCTTCATCAGCATCAGCATCATCATCAACATCAGCATCATCAGCATCATCATCACCAACATCACCACCATCAACATCAGCATCACCACTACCGTCATCAGCATCATCATGAGAAGAATCAGCATCATAATCAGCAGCATCAGAATCAGCATTAGCAGCATCATCATCAGCAGCATGAGCAGTATCAGCACATCATGGTCATCGGCATGATCACGATCGTCGTCATCGCCATCATCATCAGCATCAGCAGCATCAGCATCATCGTCATCGTCGTCATCGTCTTCAGTACCATCACCATCGTCATCAGCATCAGCATCATCAGCATCATCTGCATCATCAACAGCATCACCATCATCATCGCCATCATTATCACCGTCGCCATCATCAGCAACATCAGCATCATCAGCATCAGTATAATCATCGACATCAACAGCAGCATCATCATCATCATCATCATCATCATCATCATCATTAACAGCATCAGCATCAGCAGCATCATCATCATGAGCACCAGCATCATAACATCAGCATCATCGTCAGCAGCGTCAGCATCATCATCAGCATCAGCAACAGAATCGGTATCAGCATCATCACCATACTCGTCAGCGTCAGCACCAGCATCATGATCACCATCACCAGCATCACCATCGTCATCATCATCATCAGCATCATCATCATCCTCATCATCAACATCGTCATCATCATTGTCCTAAGCATCGTCAGCATCATCATCAGCATCGGTAGCATCAGCATCATCATCATCATCATCATCATCATCATCATCATCATCATCAACATCGTCAACATCATCAACATCATCACCACCAGCATCATCACAGGGTCCACAGCACACGAGGATCTCGACCGACTTGATGCACTTAGAGATCCCAGGGGAACCAATAAAGTCATAGCACTTCCGGGCAGGACTGACAAGCTCTCCGAAACGACAAGTGTTTTCGAGCGCGCACACAATATCCGAGGGCAACAGATCAAAGAATACAATGCCCCCAAGAACTTCGGGGCTGACGCGTTGCTGTCGACTCCAACAATAAGGGCACCTGCTTTGTTATATAAAAGTCATGCATGTGTAAAACATGAATATATGTGTACATATTTACACACACATACGTACAAATACATCGATATACTGTAGAATGTCCATATCTATATGACGCTGCCTATAGCTGCCGGAATGGAGCTATTGCGCTGCGTGAGACCTTTCAAGACGTGAAGGGAACAAGGAATCGCTAAGGTAGCAACTCCTACTGGAACATGGACAACCCCAGAAAGTGCTCGACCGTCGAGAATACTCCGCCCGAAACCAGGAAAATTAAACTCCATAAACTTCTTTACATAACAATACCACTCCTCCACTTGCTCCTCCACCATCACCTTCAGCAGCGGATTCACAAACGCACTTCCGACCGTCGGATTCGCACCAGCTCGACGACTCGTCGCACAATACATCGGCAGGAAGTCGGTGCCCTTGCAGTAGCACTACATGAGCAGCCGCCACCTTCAACCAAGACTGTCTCTGAGGACCAAGCGGTGACATTCACAGTCTGAACGGAAAGAGCGAGAGATGCAAGTGGAGCGCTGGCACGGGGCTTAAAATAAAAATACTTGAAGCCCCGATGCACAGGGACCCTGTGGAGGAGGTCCTCTGAAAGGGTGTCGGACCCGCTCGGCTGCAGAAAGTTCCCCACCTGGCGCCTCAAGCCGAGGCGGCGTCGCCAGGGGGCGATGTTACTTGAGACCGACCAAGCAAATCCGTCGCACGCTGCTTAACATCAACTTGGGGAACGTTCCGTTTACATTCGCCCATAGTAGAAGATGCCGATGCCGACGACGCTCCACCTCCGCAGCCGCAGCAGTTGCTCCAGGAGGCTGGTGATCTGCACCGCGAACGCCTCCTCCTGGCTGGGCTTCACCATCCTTGTTCTCCTTTTCTCGGCGAGCTTGGCCGCGTGCTCGGCGTGTGATTTCTGGCACTCGTCCGCCGTGGCAAGCAGCTCACCGAACAAGCGATGCTGGAGATGGCTGAATTGAAATCCTGGCGCCGCTTCTCAAGGCTCTGGACGTCCTGATGTGCGAACTCACATTCATCTGCTCGCGCCGAAGATAATTCCGCAGCGCCGATGGTTTCGAAGAGAGAGGCTTTGCCTTCCATCAGGCCGCGAAGATTGATGTCGCTCTTCTGCTGTGACTTAGAAACGACGTGGCCCTTTTCGAGCGGAGGTCCTGGATGATTTTCTGGTGTTTGACCTCCTCCTACTCGAGCCTAGCCTGCAATTGGGAAGTCGTGTCCTTCGTATCCTCGATCAATTGCATCCACTTCACGAGCTGGTACAGCCCACTGCTGAGCTTCCCTTCGAACTGCTTGCAGGTGCTGTGGTTTATGGAGAGCTGTTGTTCCAGCGGGGGGACGCAGGAAGAGCGCATCGCTTCCTCTGAGGCAACATTCGACTGGATTATATTGATGATGTCGTCGTGTCCAAGAGACTGTGCTGTATCACTGAGTTCCAAGAGTGTGCCCGTCTGCTTGTCGATGATACCACCTGGACCTGGTATTTTCTTCTTCTAGCTGCTAGGACCAACTGGAGCACAAGACTGTGACCACGGTGAACGGCAATTCTTGCAGACCGCCAAGCACCAGAGTTGCGTGTACATCCACATTTCTCACACTTCCAATTAGACATGGGCGGGCACTGCTCCCATGTCTGATTGGACCAATGCTGAGCGACGCCAGCAGCAGGATCAACAAATGCCCATGGGCATCTCCCCAGCGCAAGCAATTTGACTCCCTGACGCGAGGTGCTCTGAAGAAGCACGTCAGCAAGAAAGAAACTGCCTGCGCCAGAACGGCTGGGGAGGACAGAGGAAGGGGGGAGGGAAGGACGGGGGAAGGGGGGGACCAGGAAGGCGGAAGGGGGGGACCGGGAAGGAGGAGCGAGGAGGGAGGGGGGGAGGGGCCAGAGGGGAGAAGGGGGAGAAGGGACACGTAGGGAGAGGGGGGCCGACGACGACGACGACGACGACGACGACGACGACGACGGGGAGGACGCGCAGGGAGAGCCGCGGGGAGGGAGACCAGGCGCGGAAGGCGCCGCGTCCTTCCACGAGCCCTGCCGGCCCCAGGCGCCCCAGCTCTCCTGCCCGCACCGGGCCGGCGCCGCCGGCGCTCGCGCGTGCCTCGCCGCCGCCGGCGCCGCCGCCGCCGCCCGTCGGCGGCGGGGCACGAGAGGGCGGAGGCGGCAGACACGTACGATAGAAGGGCCCCCGCTGTCGGAGACCGTGGGGTGCGCCCTCTTCGTCGGCCCCGGGAGGTCCGAGGCGCCAGGAAGCTCCCATGTGTCCCCGACATCCTCGGGGAGCCCTGGGACACACACACACACACACACACACACACACACACACACACACAAATCCCAGCATTGCCCATGTTTTCCTAAGCTTTCGGGGTCTTCGTCTTCCCCCCCGTCGCCCATATGTTCCAATATTTTTCCTGGGAATCAACGATTAGTTGTGTCTGAGTTTTCCCCCTCCTGAAACCTGGGATTTCCGCGGGGCACCTGCTCGCAGGCCGATGTCTTACCAGATGGGCCCACTGGGTCTCAGCAAGGGAAACAGGAGGAGAAGGAGGAGGAGGAGAAGGAGGAGAAGGAGAAGGAAGAGCAGGAGGAGGAGGAGAAGGAAGAGGAGGAGGAGGAGGAGGAGGAGGAGAAGGAAGAGGAGGAGGAGAAGGAGGAGGAGGAGGAGAAGGAGGAGGAAGATGGGGAGAAAGCTCCTGGAGAAGACACTATGAATATTTAGACATGGTTCCGGTGCTCTGCATGGATTCAAGGGCTTCTGGGGTGGAGGAGGAGGAGGAGGAGGAGGAGGAGGAGGAGGAGGGGAAGGAGGAGGAGGGTTCTACCTCCCGTTCCTCCATCCCCCCCCCCGCATCTCTGGACCTCTCTGCCTCCTTGCCTCCTTACCTTCTTCCAACCCTCCCTCCCTCCTCCGACCCTCGTGCTCCCCGCTGTTACTACCCTCGCCCTCCTCACCATCCCATCATCGCTGGACCTCTCTGCCTCCCTACCTCCCTGCCTTCTTGCAGCCCTCCATCCCTGTTCCGTCCCTTTGTGTTCCTCGCTGTGCTGCTGCCCTAGCCCTTCATCCACCGCCACCAACTCATGGAACATCCAGGAACCCCTGCAAGGCCTCCCACAAGCCATGAAACCTCCAAGAAGCGCCTGAAGCATCCTGATCTGCAAGGCTTGGGCGGGTGGGGTGGGCTGTCGCGTCGGATTGTTTCAGTGCTTGTTGAGAGATTTTTCGGGCGGGTTTTCGAGCGTTGTTGGCCCCCGGATTACAAGCCTGAGACTTCCTCGCAATTTACTCAGGAATCATGCTCTCACGTGGGACTTCCCAACAAAGTATTCGGGAATCGTCCTCTCGGCGCTTTGGCGTCGCGCTCTCGCTGGTGATTCGCTTGCAACATACTCAAGAAATTCCCATCAAGTTACTCAAGCGCCGCGCTCCGGACACTCAGGCACCCAGGAGTCGCGCTCACGCTGAGGACTCCCTCGCAGCTTACTTCGGAGTTTTGATTTCGCTGCCCTTCGTAGCCACGCTGCAGCCCTTTGTGGCCCCCTCGCTGCCCTTCGTGGACCCGTTGCAGCCCTTCGTAGCCCCTTTCGCGGCCCTTCGTGGACACGCTGCAACCCTTCGTGGCCCCCTCGCGGCCCTTCGTGGACACGCTGCAGCCTTTAGTGGCCCCCCTGCTGCCCTTCGTGGCCCCGTCGTCGCACCCCTTCGTGGCCCCCTCGCTGCCCTTCGTGGCCCCGTTGCACCCCTTCGTGGCCCCCTCGCTGCCCTTCGTGGCCCCGTTGCAGCTCTTCGTGGCCCCCTCGATGCGCTTCGCGGCCTCGTTGCAGCCCTTCGTGGCCCCCTCGCTGCGCTTCGCGCCCCCGATGCACCCCTTCGAGACCCCCTCGCTGCCCTTCGTGGAACCGTTGCACCCCTTCGCGACCCCCTCGCTCGCTGCCCTTCGTGGCCCCACATACGCACGCCCTTCGTGGCCCCCGCTCGTTCGCGCCCTTCGTGGCCCAATATGCATGCATTTCGTGGCCCCGCCGTCGCCCTTCGCGGCGCCTTCGCCGCCCTTCGTGGCCCCGTCGCTGCCTTCAGTGGCCCCGCCCATGCCCTCTGCAGCCCAAAAGACGCACGCCCTTCGAAGCCCCGCTCGTTCGCGTCCGTCGTGGCCCCACACGCATGCCCTTCGCGGCCCCCGTGTCGCCTTTTCCGGCCACCTCGCTGTCCTACGTGGCCCCGTCGCTACCCTCAGCGGCCACGTCATTGCCCTCTGTGGCCTTGCATTACGTGCCCTTCGTGGCCTCCGCTCGTTCGTGCCCTTCGTGGCCCCATACGCATGCCTTTCGCGGACCTGCTGTCGCTCTTCGCGGCCCTCTTCCTGCCCTTCATGGCCCCACTGTCGCTTTCGCTCTCGCTCTCGCTGTCGCTCGCCGTCGTCGTCGTCGTCGCCGTCGTCGTCGTCGTCGTCGTGGTCGTTCCCCTGTCCGTCTCTCTTGGGGTCGGGCTGCCGCCGATCAGCGCTGCCGCTGGCCAGGCCGACGGTCCGCAGCCGCCCCGCCGCTTGCCGGGGCCCGGCCTGCAGGGAAGGAAGATATACCCACCAAAAGAGGCACAATCGAAGACGAAGAGGACGGGCATCGAGGGTTTGGGAAATACACGTTGGATGACACTCGAGCAGGTAAGAGCGAACAGTCTTAACATATGTGTTGTGGTTGTTGTTGAGATTGTTGTTGTTGGTGGTGGTGGCGTTGTTGTTGTTGTTGTTGTTGTTGTTGTTGCTGTTGTTGTTGTTGTTGTGATTGTTGTTGTTGCTGGTGGTGGTGTTGCTGTTGCTGTGGTTGTTGTTGTTGGTGGTGGTGTTGTTGGTGTTGTTGTTGCTGGTGTTGTTGTTGTTGCTGTTGTTCTTGTTAATGTTGTCCCCCCCCGCGACCCGGCCCGCGACCCACCCGCGACCCACCCGCGACCAACCCCGCGACCCACCCGCGACCCACCCGCGACCCACCCCGCGACCCACCCGCAACCCACCCCGCGATCCACCCGCGACCCACCCGCAACTCACCCGACCCACCCGCAACCCACCCGCGATCCACCCGCGACCCACCCGCGATCCACCCGCGACCCACCCGCAACTCACCCGCAACCCACCCGCGACCCACCGCGACCCAAACCCACCCGCGACCCACCCGCGACCCACCGCGACCCACCCGCGACCCACCCGCGACCCACCCCGCGACCCACCCGTGACCCACCCCGCGACCCACCCACATTGCTTTAACGAAACATCGGCGCCTGCGGTGGGCTCGGTGTACAATTTGTAAAAATTAGGCGCCTGCGGCGAGCTTCTTCAGAGGCTCGCAAACTGTAGACGTCCCCGCCGCCCCCTCGCTCTTATCCGCGACTGC